TTATCACATGATGTTCTAGAACACTGAACTATTGGCAATGCTCTTGACCTTTCTTTGTGAGCTTTTTGCCATCTCTGTAGCTCTCTTCAAACTAACGTCTACATCCCATCCTGCACTGTTCTTTGCTGCCCACATTCCCTTCCCTGGGTCCTTGTTTGGTACAATTTTAGCAAAGCGTTCAAGTAGTCTTCGGAGGCAGCCAGGTCTGGGTTAAAATCCCCGCTTTGCCATTCTCAGCCACTTGCCCTTGGGCAAGTCATTCACATGTTCCAGCTTGAGCCTCAGTTTTCCCATCTGTAAATTGGGGCAATAATAGCAGCTGGTTAATTAATAATAGCAGGTAATTAACCCTCATTACTGGATTAGGAGGACTAATTGATTTAATGGATGTAAAGTGCTTAGCACCATGCCCAGCACTCAGTGCTGGGTTGTAGAAAGAACAACCAAAGGCACAGGGCAGGGGGAGAGAGGACTGGGGTCCTAGGCGGGAGGAAATGAAAGTGCCCTGGCCCGAGAGCGGGCCCGAAGGACTCCTGTGGTCAGCTGCCAGGTCGGGCTGCATTGACAATGGAGGCTCAGGGAGGGTTATTTGCTGGTTTGTTTCTTCGTACAAAATTCATACTGGTTGCTTTTCAGTCCTTGAGTCACACTTCTTGTGGTGCCCTGTGTCTACGGAACTATGCACATGTCCCCAGGAGGAGACTATGTCCCTACTGTCCCATGGACCCGGGAACAAGCAGCCCTGTGGGCCCGGGATCATTCTTCTCTTCCTCTATTCCTTCCTTTGTTCATTCACACAGCTGCTGTCACTACATATACATTGAGTCCCTACTATGAGCCAGGCTTCATGGTGGGCACTGGGGATGCCAGTCAATGAGACGGACATGTCCCTGTCCTCATGGAGCCCCAGAAACTAAACAAATAACTACGTTAATGCTCCTGTACTAACGAATCACCTTGTAATTCCAATTGGGATAGGCACTGCTGCGAAGCAAAAATGCAGGAATGCAAAGTCCTGTGGGAGAGAATAAATCGGGCAACCAGATTGAGATTGGGGTGATCAGGGAAGACCTCTCAGAGGAGGTGACATTTTGCCTGGCACTGAAGCATGAAGAGGAGAGTGCTGGCTTCAGAGTGGAAAGAAAGAATGTGTGTAAAGGCCTTGAGCAGCTCAGTTTTTGTTTTGTTTTAGTTTCAGAAATGAAAGGAGCCATTGTAACCGACCCAGTGAGGGATTGGGGAGGGTGGTGGGAGGGG